GCAGTGCACTGCCCTTCCCTGCTCTGCATTGTTCCTGATGGCGGAGGTGCTTCGCTTCGACGCTGAGGGTCAGCCGCTTGAGTTTGACGCGTAGCTGGTCGACCTCCGCCGCCATCTCACTGGTCAGCGGCAGGATGGCCACTCGCTGTCTGTCCACCTTGACGGTAAGCTCCCCTGCCCTGACCCCCCTGCTGCGCTGCCCGCTGACCCCTCGTCTGCTGAGCGTGAGTCCGATGCCGTTGCTGCCCTTGCTCGCTCTGTCTGGCTGTCGCGTGACGCTGTTGCGCAGCTTGCTATCAGCCATGCCCTCCCACTATCTGAGCGCCCTCCCTTTAAGTCCGTCACGACTGCGCAGGCGTTCCTAGATGCTGTTGTCCAGCGCTATTCCACCCCGCCTGCTGCCTCCGTAGGTCGCGTGATCCTGCCGATGCTTTTCCCTAACCTTGTGTCTTTCCCCACTGTCGCTGACCTTGCCACCCACCTGCGCACGATAGACGCGACCTGGCGTTTTGCCTGCACTGAGACCCAGCTTAGGGCTCATCAGTGGCCCCTCTACTCTGTCCTCTACCTGCTAGCCAACCGCCCGCCTGACCGCCTTGCCACTGCCCGCGACCGCTGCCTTAGCGTCCACCCCAGTGACCTCACCCTCATCGACTTCGTCAACACCCTGTCTGCCATAGAGACCCGCCACCGCTCTATCGCCCAGACTAGCGGTACTGTGCCAGTCCCTATCTTTCAGGGTTTTGCCCCTGCCCAGTGCACCTTCTCCGACGGTTCTGCTGCTGTGGCTGAGACTGCTGCTGCAGCGCAGCTCCGTCCGGGGAAGGGTCGCTGCCCCAAGGCTGGGCGTGCCGGAGGGGGTGGGAGTACAGGTGGAGGTGGTAGTGGAGTCGGGGCACCTGGTGGTGGCGCACACGAGGGGACTATCCCTAGTGTAGCCGAGCCGCCGTCCCAGCAGCCACAGCCGTCGCAGCCGGACCAGCACCTCCCACACCCGCAGGCGAGCCGCAGCAGTCGCACCAGCCGCAGCAGTCGCAGCAGCCGCAGCAGTCGCAACAGCCGCAGCAGCAGAGGCGGGTGAGTGGTCTCCCGCCCGAGTGGCCTAGCGCTTGTGGCGACGGTGGACATGGTGGTGGAGGTGCGCGTGGTGTGCTCCCGGGTGGCAGTTCGGGTGACGGGCGCTGCCAGTACCAGCTCCTGACCGGTCCTCGCTGCGGCTCCGTTTGCGGTAAGACTGGTCACTCCCCAGTTCGCTGCTTCCGTCGCCTAGACGACCTGTTTTGTCTTTGCTTCGGCCCGTCGCCCGACCTCCCCAAATGGTTCAGCTTGCTTCGTTGTAGTATTATGATTTTTGATATGGACATGGATGAGCTTAGCTCTGCCCTGCATGTGCTGTATGCTGATGACTCTAGTGTGACTGGTTCTTACTACCCAGTGTTGCCTAGTGTAGGTGTGCCTAGTCTTGCCCCCCCTGCTGGCTAGTGTTGGCTAGTCGCAGTGCGTGTCCACTGCGGTCTCCCTGTCCTGCGTCTTCACTCTGACCGTGGGACGAGTTTGCCTCTGGCGTCCTCGGGTGCTTCTCTTGTGCAGAGGGCATCACCCAGACGTTCACCCTGCCGGACTCCAGCAGAATGGGGCCGCTGAGCGACGCATCAGTTTGGTCATGGAGGTGGCTCGTACCTCCATGATCCACGCCGGTGCACCCCATTTTCTGTGGCCGTTTGCGGTTCCCTACGCTGCTCACCAGCTTAACCTGTGGCCGCACCCTCAGCGGCCGCAGGTTTCGCCGACACTTTTTTGGATCGGGTCTCCTGGTGACGCATTTGCGTTCCACGTCTGGGGCTGCCTTGCTCACGTTCGTGCCTCTGGCACGGACAAGCTTACAACCCGCACCGTCCCCTGTGGTTTCCTTGGTTTCCCCCTTGACTCGTCCGACTGGCACTTCTACCACCCGCCGTCCCACGTTTCTTTCACTCCCGAGACGTTACCTTTGACGAGTCCGTCTCCTTCTACCACCGCTTTCCATACCGTGGTCCCCCGGTTGCCCACCCCCTGTTCCTGGTTCCCCCGTCCCTTGTAGCCCCAGTCCCACCCCTCCCGCATCCTGCCCCGTTCGGTGTGTCTCATGTCACTCCCCTCCCATCGGTTGTCCCGGTTGAGGAGTCTGCTGACTCTGGTGGTCCTGCGGCCCGGTCCTTGCCGCCAGCCCCCCCCCTCGGTGACACCTCCACCGCCGCCACAGCAGCAGTCATCGCTGCCGCAGCTGCCATCCCTGCGGCCGCAGCTGTTCGTCGCCTCTGGTGGAGCTGGAAATGGGAGTGGTACCGGTGCTGGAGGGGTTTCTGGCTCTGGGGGTGTTCCTTCTGGGGGTGCGGGAGAGGAGTGTTCCGACGGTAGCCGTGGAGCCGCTTTCGGCCCTGGCGTCGGTGTTGTGCCGCAGCAGCCGCCGTCCCCACCGGTGTCAGCCCTTCGCCTGCTCGGCCTTCCGTTCCCTGACCCTGCGTCTGTTCCTCTCCTGTCGTCCCCTCCTCTTCCGGTCTACGGCCCTGTGTTCCCTCCCCCGGACTCGTCCCCGGCTCGTCTCCCCCCTCGTTCCCCTCTTGTGTCTCCTCCTCTGTCTCCTGACCCGACGCCTCCGTCGCACGTCTGGTCGCGCCGTCCCTCCCATACTCGCCCTGTCTCCCCTGTCTCGCGCTCCCACCCTATATTGCTTCGTTCTCACGTGTCCCGTCCTCCCCTCCTCCCGTCGCCTCCTCCGTCCTCCCTTGTCGTTGCGCCTCCACCTCTGTCTGACTACCTTCGTGCCGCTCGTCCTCTTGTTCCTCGGGTCCTTGCCTCTCTCGTTACCGACCCGTCTGTTCCGGTGTCACGTCTTGATGCTCTTGTCACTATGGTCGCTGACTTCACCTCTACCCGCCGCCTTGACTACGCCACCGCTCTGGTCTCTGACCCTGCCTGTCCTCCGTCTGTCGGGGGTGCTCCTGCCCTTGGCAGTAACCTCCTGGAGGACCGCCTGTACGAGCTTGCTTTCCTGTCCGAGGCTGCTCCCCATCTCTGTTCCACACTGCTAGTCCCTGAGGGTGACCCTGACGCTTTCGACATCCCGACCCCTCGCACTTACGCTGAGGCGACCTCGAGACCCTGGGCCTCTCAGTGGATAGCTGCCATGGAGCATGAGATGGCATCTTGGAGATCCACCGGCACCTACAGCGACGCAGTTCCCCCACCTGGGGTGAACGTAGTCGATGGCCGCTGGCTCTTCAAGGTGAAGCGCCCTCCTGGAGAGCCGCCTGTGTTCAAGGCGCGCTACGTGGCTAGAGGTTTCCATCAGCGTGAGGGGGTGGACTTCTTTCAGACCTTCGCTCCGACCCCAAAGAAGACTACTCTTCAGGTACTGCTACTTGTAGTAGCTCAGCGTGACTACGAGCTTCACTCCCTTGACTTCTCCGCTGCTTTTCTTCAGGGCAGTCTACACGAGCAGGTCTACCTGCGCCGCCCTTAGGGATTCACTGGTACCTTCCCTCCTTGGACCCAGTGGCTCTTGCGGCACCCCATCTACGGCCTACGCCAGGCTCCCCGTGAGTGGCACGACACGCTGCGTGCTACCCTAGCTGACCTACAGTTCTTTCCGTCCTCTGCAGACCCCTCGCTCTTCGTTCGTGCTGGCCGGACTCCGTTCTACATCCTTGTTTACGTGGACGATCTGGTCTTTGCCACAGCAGACAGGGACGCACTGGCCTCCGTGAAGGCAGAGCTGCTGAAGAGACACACGTGCACTGACCTTGGAGAATTGCGCCACTACCTTGGCTTGCAGATCTCCAGGAACAGAGCAGCGCGCACCATCACTTTGACTGAGTCACACTTGGTGCGCCAGGTCCTTCAGTGGTTCGGCCTTCAGTTCTCCTCCGCACAGCCCACTCCTCTGCCTCTAGACCACAGGCTCTCTGCTCCAGTTCCTGAGGAGTGAGCGGAGCCCAGTGGTCCTTACGCAAAGCTGGTGGGTTGCCTCATGTACCTGATGACGTGCACTCGCCCAGATCTCGCATAACCTCTCAGCATCCTGGCTCGCTTTGTGGCCACAGGCAGACACCGTCCTCAGCACTGGTCTGGCGCTAAGACGGTTTTGCGTTATTTAGCAAGTACATCGGGCATGGGGTTAGTGCTAGGAGGACGCAGGCCAGTGGTCCTTACTGGACACACAGACCCTTCTGGGGCAGACGACGCCGAGACCCTCAGGTCCTCTCACGGCTACTGCTTTAGTCTTGGTTCAGGTGCCGTCTCATGGAGAGCTAACCCCTCGTCGTCTGTGGCTCAGTCCAGCTATGAGGCCGAGATCTACGTCGGTGCCATGGCGACACAGGAGCTCCGCTGGCTGACCTTCTTGCTCACTGACTTAGGTGAGCGGCCTAGCTCTGCCCCGGTCTTGTACGCTGACAACAGGCCCATGATCCTCCTGTGTCAGGAGCCTCGACTCGAGGCCAGAGCGAAGCACATCCAGCTGCGGTACTTCCTCCTGCGAGAGCTACAGCAGTGCCGCCAGGCTCGCGTAGTACACTTGGCTTCCGGTGCCAACACAGCTGATATCTTTACGAAGGCGCTTGCGCCTACAGATCATCAGCGGCAGTGTTTACAGCTAGGTCTCGTTCCTGTAGCCTCTCACTTGCTAGGGCCTTGACTTCGTACTGTCCTTTATATATATATTAGCTCAGACTGGACTTGTGTCCTCTCCCAGTGGCTGGACTAGTAGTGCCGCCCTGGTCTTGCTCTTGCCTTGTCTATACTCCTTTTGACTCGTCTTTAGACCCTTGTCTCAAGGGCTGGACTAGTGGTACCGCCCTGAGCTGCTTCTTCCCTTGTTAGGCACTGCCCCTATATAGTCTAGGGGGTGTTGTCAAACATTAGCATATCTAGTGTTTGTATAGACTGTATAGGGTCACCTCTTAGAGAGTACAACACTTGCATATGTATTCTTGTACCCACGTACTCTAGTCATTCAGTTCTTACTTTAAAATGGTATCACACGTAGGTTAGAATCCCCGACGTACCGCTTCCGCCCGTACCCTATAGCGCCTCCTAGCCCCGTTGCGGCCCCCTGGGCCCCATAGCGCCTCCTAGCCCTGTCGCGCCCCTCCTGGGACCCATCGCGCCTCCCGGCCCCGTCGCGCCCCTCCTGGGCCTTGTCGCGCCTCCTAGCCCCGTCGCGCCCCCCCTGGGCCCCGTCGCGCCTCCTAGCCCCGTCGCGCCCCTCCTAGGCCCTGTCACGCCCGCTACGGCCGCGTCGTGCGCAGCCTCGCCCCATCGCGCCCCCTAGGCCCCGTCGCGCCTTGCCTGGCCCCGTCGCGCCCTGCTTGGCCCCGCCGCACCCGCCTGGCCCCGTCGCAGCCAGCCTGGCCCCGTCGCGCCTGCCTGTCCCTGTCGCGCCTGCCTGGCCCCGCTGCGCCTGTCTGGCCCCGCCGCGCCTCCCTGGCCCCGCCGCGCCTGCCTGGCCCCGCTGCGCCTGGCTGGCCTTGCCGCGCCTGCCTGGCCCCTCCGCGCCTGCCTGGCCCCGCCTGGCCCTGTGCTGCACTGTTCCTGATGGCATCGAAGCTTCGCTTTGACGCTGAAGGCCAGCCTCTGGAGTTCGAGGCCTTGCTAGCAGACCTCCGCCACCAGCTCACTGGTCAGCGGCAGGATGGCCACCCGCTCTCGACACACCTTGACGGTATACTTCCCTGCCCAGACCCCCCTGCTGTGCTGCCTGCTGACCCCACCCCTGCTGAGCGCGAGTCTGCTACTGCCACTGCCCTCGCTCGCTCTGTCTGGCTTTCCTGTGACGCTGTCGCCCAGCTTGCCATTAGCAATGCCCTCCCTCTGTCTGAGCGTCCTCGCTTTAGGTCTATCACCACCGCCCATGCTTTCTTAGACGCTGTTATCCGGCGCTATTCCGCCCCGCCTGCTGCCTCGGTGGGTCGCCTTATCATACCGATGCTCTTTCCTAACCTTGTGCCTTTCCCCACTGTCGCTGACTTGGCTGCCCACCTACGCACGATAGATGAGACCTGGCGCGCTGCCTGCACTGACGCACAGCTTAGAGCGCACCAGCCGCCCCTTACCTCTACCCTCTACCTGCTTGCCACCCGCCTTCCTGACTGCCTTGCCGCTGCTCGTGACTGCTTCCTTAGCATTCACCCGGGTGCCCTCACCCTTACAGACTTTGTAGACACCCTGACTGATATTGAGACCCGCCACCGCTCTATCGCCCAGGCGAGCGGTGTTGTGCCGGTCCCTATCTTTCAGGGTTGTGCCCCCGCTCAGTGCACCTTCTCCGATGGTTCTGCAGCTGTGGCTGAGACCGCCGCTACAGCGCAGTTCCGTCCAGGGAAGGGCCGCCGCCGCAAGGCTGGGTGCGGCGGCGGTGGTGGGGGTGCCAGCGGAGGTGGTGCTGGAGTCGGGTCGTCTGGTGGTGGAGTGGACAAGGGGACCCTGCCAGGTCCGGCTGAGCAGCAGCAGCAGTAGTCGCAGCAGCAGCAGCAGCAGCAGCAGCAGCAGCAGCAGCAGCAGCAGCAGCAGCCGCAGCCGCAGCAGCCGCCGCAGCCGCAGCAGCTGCACCAGCTGCAGCAGCCGCCGCAAACGAGGCAGGCGAGTGTCCTCCCGCCTGGGTGGCCTGGCGCTGGTGGTGGTCGTGCGCGTGGTGGTGTGCCGGGTGACGGTTCGGGAGGCGTGCGCTGTCAGTACCAGATCCAGACCGATCCTCGCCGCGGCTTCGTTTGCGGTAAGATCGGTCACACCATTGCCCGCTGTTTTCGTCGCTTGGACGACCTGTTTCGTCAGCGTTTCGCACCGTCGCACGACCTCCCGGACTGGCACATTTTGCTTAGTGTAGAGTTCAGATTTTTGACATGGACATGGATGCCATTGTTTCTGCCCTGCATGTGATGTATGCTGATGACTCTAGTGTGATCCCCTCTTATTACTCCTTGTCGCCTAGTGTAGGTGTGCCTAGATTAGCCTCCCCTGCTGCTTCAGGCGTAGGAGCTTCTGCCTTGTTTAGCCTTGGTGCTTCCACCATCGCCCAGTTGCCAGACGCCACTACTTCGCTCTCCTTCACCTTGGACTCTGGCGCTTTCCGGTGTTTCTTCCGTGACTCTACTACGCTGACGCCGCTTCCTGTTCCTGCTGCAGTTTCTCTTGCTGACCCCTTCGGCAGTCCAGTAGTCGCTTGCAGTTCCACCACCCTTCCCTGTCTGGCGGTTCCTTCGGGCTCTCTCACAAGTCTACATATCCCCTCGTTCTCCAGGAACCTAGTTGGTGTCGCCTACCTCCAGGACCTTGGCGTCACCACTACGTTCCCTGGTCACGAGCGATACACTGTCTGTAACGAGGCCGCCACTGGTACCCCCTTGTCCACGTTCCCCCGGGACCCGGTGTCCGGCGTGTTCACCCTGGATACCGTGACCCCCCCAGCAGGGGCGCCCCTTCAGGTGGCTGCGTCTACCCAGGTTGCTGCTGCCTGCTCCAGTCGGTCCCTCACTCACCCGACTCTCCTTTGGCACCATTGCCTAGGTCACCCTGCGCTCCCGCGTCTGCGTCACATGTCCCAGCACGGTCTCGTCCTTGGTCTCCTTGGTTCGTTCCCCGCTTTTCCCTCCTCCCCCGCCCCACCTTGCACGCCTTGTGTCGAGGGTCGGCTTCGCCGTGCCCATCACTCCTCCTCGTTTCCCCCTACTTCCACGCCGCTGCAGACCCTGCACATGGACGTCTAGGGCCCCGCCCCTGTCCATGGGCCGCGTCAAGAGCGCTACTTCCTCGTACTTGTTGACAACTTCACTCGCTACACCACAATCTATCCTCTGGAGCGCAAGGCCGACGTGCCTGACGTTCTCATTCCCTGGCTTGTCTCTGCCCGTGTCCACCGAGGTCTCCCTGTCGTGCGTCTTCACTCCGACCATGGTGGTGAGTTTGCCCTAGGTGTCCTTGGTCGCTTCTGTCGTGCGGAGGGCATCACCCAGACGTTCACCCTACCGGACTCCCCACAGCAGAATGGGGTCGCTGAGCGACGCATTGGTCTGGTCATGGAGGTTGCTCGCACCTCCATGATCCATGCCGGTGCACCCCATTTTCTGTGGCCGTTCGCCGTGCGCTACGCTGCTCACCAGCTTAACCTGTGGCCGCACCCCCAGCAGCCACAAGTTTCGCCGACCCTTCTTTGGACCGGGTCTCCTGGTGACGCATCTGCGTTCCACGTCTGGGGCTGCCTTGCTCACGTTCGTGCCTCTGGCATGGACAAGCTCACTGCCCGCACACTTCCCCGCGCCTTCCTAGGTTTCCCCCTTGACGAGTCCGACTGGCACTTCTACCACCTGCCGTCTCACTTGGTCTTTCACTCTCGCGACGTCACCTTTGACGAGTCCGTCTCCTTCTACCGTCGCTTCCCCCACCACGGTCCCTCGGTTACTCCCCCCCTGTTCCTGGTCACTCCTTCCCCGGTGGTCCCTGCCACCCCCCCTCCACCACCCCGTCCTGCCCCCTCTGGTGTGTCCCACGTCCCCCCTCTTCCGTCAGTTGTCCCGGTCGAGGAGTCCTCTGACTCTGGTGGTCCTGCGGCGCAGTCCTCGCTGTCTGCCCCTCCCCCAGTGTCTCCCCCCTCACAGCCTCTGCAGCCGCCGCCGCCCCTGCTGTCGCAGCCGTCGTTCCCGCCGCCGCTGCCGCCGTCGCAGCTACAGTTCGTCGACCCTTGGGGTGCCCGCGTCGGGGTGGGTGCTAGTTCTGGGGTTCCTGTTGTAGACTGCCCCGGTGGCCCTGGGGGTGGTACTGGTGCTCGGGGGGTTTCGGGCTCTGGGGGTGTTCCTTCTGGGGGTGCCGGCGTGGAGTGTTCCAGCGGTAGCCGCGGAGCAGCTTGCGGTCCCGGTGTTGGTGTTGTGCCGCCGCAGCAGCAGTCCACGCTGGTGTCCGCCCTTCGCCTGCTCGGCCTTCCGTCCCCTGACTTTGCGTCCGGTCCTCCGCTGCCGTCTCCTCGTCTTCCTATCTACGGCCCTGTGTTCCCTCCGCCGGACTCATTCCCGGCTCGTCTTCCCCCTCGCTCCCCCCTTGTGTCCCCTCCTCTGTCTCCTGCCCCGACGCCTCCGTCTCACGTCTGGTCCCACCGTCCCTCCCGCGCTCGTCCTGTCTCCCCTGTCACGCGCTCTCACCCTATGTTGCTTCGTTCCCACGCGTCTTGTCCTCCCCCTCTATCGTCGCCTCCTCCGTCCTCTCTTACCGTTGCGCCTCCCCCTCTGTCTGACTACCTTCGTGCCGCTCGTCCTCTTGTTCCTCGGGTCCTCGCCTCTCTCGTTACCGACCCGTCTGTTCCGGTCTCGTGTCTTGACGCTCTAGTCACTGCGGTCGCTGACTTCGCCTCTACCCGCCGCCTTGACTACGCTACCGCTCTGGTCTCTGACCGTGCCTGTCCTCCATCTGTCGGGGGTGCTCTTGCCCTCGGCAGTGACGTCCTAGAGGACCGCCAGTTCGAGCTTGCTTTCCTGTCCGAGGCTGCTCCCCATCTCTGTTCCATGCTGCTAGTCCCTGAGGGTGACCCAGACACTTTCGACATCCCGACCCCTCGCACTTACGCTGAGGCGACCTCGGGACCCTGGGCTTCCCAGTGGATAGCTGCCATGGAGCAGGAGATGGCATCTTGGAGATCCACCGGCACCTTCGTCGACGCAGTTCCCCCGCCTGGGGTGAACGTAGTCGATGGCCGCTGGCTCTTCAAGGTGAAGCGCCCTCCTGGAGAGCCGCCTGTGTTCAAGGCGCGCTACGTGGCTAGAGGCTTCAGTCAGCGTGAGGGGGTGGACTTCTTCCAGACATTCGCTCCGACCCCGAAGATGACTACTCTTCGGGTTGTGTTACACCTAGCTGCTCAGCGTGACTACGAGCTTCACTCCCTCGACTTCTCCACTGCCTTCCTTCAGGGCAGCCTACACGAGCAGGTCTACCTGCGTCGCCCTCAGGACTTTATTGGTACCTTCCCTCCTGGGACTCAGTGGCTCCTGCGGCGTCCCGTCTACGGCCTACGGCAGGCTCCTCGTGAGTGGCAGGACACGCTGCGTGCTACCCTTGCTGACCTGCAGTTCTTTCCGTCTTCCGCAGACCCCTCGCTCTTCGTTCGTGCTGGCCAGACTCCGTTCTACATCCTTGTTTACGTGGACAATCTGGTCTTTGCCACAGCAGACAGGGACGCACTGGCCTCCGTGAAGGCTGAGCTGCTGAAGAGACACACTTGCACTGACCTTGGAGAACTGCGCCGTTACCTTGGCTTGCAGATCTCCATGGACAGAGCAGCGCACACCATCACCTTGACTCAGTCACACTTGGTGCGCCAGGTCCTTCAGAGGTCCGGCCTTCAGTTCTCTTCTGCACAGCCCACCCCTCTGCCTGTAGACCACAAACTATCCGCTCCAGATTCTGAGGAGTCAGTAGAGCCCAGTGGCCCTTACGCAGAGCTGGTGGGTTGCCTCATGTACCTGATGACTTGCACTCGTCCAGATCTCGCATACCCTCTCAGCATCCTGGCTCGCTTTGTGGCCACAGGCAGACACCGAACGCAGCACTGGTCTGCCGCTATGAGAGTTTTGCGTTATCTTGCGAGTACATCGGGCATGGGGTTAGTGCTAGGAGGACGCAGGCCAATGGTCTTTACTGGACACACAGACTCTTCGTGGGCAGACGACGCCAAGACACTCAGGTCTTCCCAGGGCTACTGCTTCAGCCTTGGTTCAGGTGCCGTCTCGTGGAGAGCTACCCGCTCCTCGTCTGTTGCCCAGTCCAGCTGTGAGGCCGAGATCTACGCTGGTGCCATGGCGGCGCAGGAGCTCCGCTGGCTGACCTTCTTGCTCACTGACTTAGGTGAGCGGCCTAGCTCTGCCTCGGTCCTGTATGCTGACAACAGGCCCATGATCCTCCTGTGTCAGGAGCCTCGACTCGAGGGCATAACGAAGCATATCCAGCTGCGGTACTTCCTCCTGCGAGAGATACAGCAGCGCCGCCAGGCTCGCTTTGTACACCTGGCCTCCGGTGCCAACACAGCTGATATCTTTACGAAGGCGCTTGCGCCTAAAGATCATCAGCGGCACTGTTTACAGCTAGGTCTCGTTCCTGTAGCCTCTCACTTGCTAGGGCCTTGACTTTGTAGTGTCCTTTATATATATATTAGCTCAGACTGGACTTGTGTCCTCTCCCAGTGGCTGGACTAATAGTGCCGCCCTGGTCTTGTTCTTGTCTTGCCTGTACTCCTGTTGACTGGTCTTTAGACCCTTGTCTGAGTGGCTGGACTAGTAGTGCCGCCCTGAGCTGCTTGTTCAGGCACTGCCCCTATGCAGTCTAGGGGGTGTGTCAAACATTAGCATATCTAGTGTTTGTATAGACTGTATAGGGTCACCTCTTAGAGAGTACAACACTTGCATATGTGTTCTTGTACCCACGTACTCTAGTCATTCAGTTCTTACTTTAACAGGTGTGTCAAACATATCTTATGTTGTTGCTGTAGTGTAGACTATACAGGTTTGTGCCTTAAAGGGTACAACACACTAGTCTATATTGCCCTATATCTTCCTATTCTATTCATAGTCTCTTTCTAACATCTTCGTACACATCATGGTTCGGCGGAAACAATGTTTTCAATCAACCAATCGATCGCGCATGCCTAGGGTCTGTCGAGAAATCTCAACCATTCGAAAAAAAATTGGATTGTCGACCGTCGATGCTGAACATCGGACCGCGCTGAAACGAAATCCGGGGGCGCGCAACCTGAAAAAGGTCGAAATTGCAACGTTAGCAGCAGCTCCCATTGAAGCAAATGTCACTTCATTCACCTCCCGCTTCCACCAACCAGCCACTTGAAAGCTCCATAACGTCTTCCATACGAGCGTCTTAAACCCTATCAAGATCAAATACGCTCTACACCGAATGCCAACCATCGTCGCCGCTCGTGTTCGTCCACGCCATGGGAAAACTACGTGTTCAGACATCATCGTCGTTAGAATGGCACTCTGGAGCTTCTTCTTTGCTGGAAGGGTTATGATCCTTCTGAGGCTACGTCTCTGAATTCGACATGGGTAACACCCGTCGTCCTCTTCGCGACTACCTTGTCAAGCAGGGTGTTACTTCTACCACCTTGCTTTGAGGAGGGGAAGTGTGAGAGTACGACACCGTTACACCAATTTCCCAATTCCCTATTTCCTTTCTATTTTATCCCTCATTTCATCTTGATTCATTTGGTCTTTATCTCATCTCATTTGGTTTCCTATTCCTCCTTTTCCATTATCCTTTGGTTTATCCCGTTATTATAATTATATCGACCAGGCTCGGGATGTACTAGCGCGCCATTTCTAGCGTAATCCTGCCGTAATCCCTTAGAGCCAATAGCCTCGCGTGGCTAAACGCATGGTGATTCTATTTCTAGAAGGGTCTATTCCCTTTGGATAGGATAAACCTAGTTACCTGTGTTGTGTGATGTCATCATATGCTATCACATTCTGTGTGCCTCCCATCCCATGTTTTCAACTTGCATGTGTAGTTTGAACGTGTGCAAGAATTTGTGTGTGGTGTCATCTGGAGTTTGGGAATGTGTTTTGTGTTATTTTGTTTGAGCATGTATTTTATGATGATAGATCTTGAGAAGATCTTTCCGAGGCAACGAGAATCCCTTCAATCGTAGCAAGAACGCGAAAGCTATGAAGATTCAAAGTTCATGAGCTTGCGTTACAATTGCGGCAGTTACAAAGTGAAGTTGTGGGGTGACTCACTATGGAGTTGGGACCTTTGAGGGCTGAGGAAATTCGTCACTCTACTGTAGCAGCTGCAAATTGGTTGGGAACAACCAAACTAGGTTGGCAAGGGTGGCCAACTTGGATGGATTGGTTGGGAAGGGACAAAGGTCAAAGTTGAGGTTCCTATAGCGAGGGAACTTTGTGGTTATGGATTTATATCCGAGTTTCGCGACATTCCAACGGTTAGGTTTTTGTCGACGACGTTTTTTGTGGAGACGACTTTTCTGTCCTAGATTTCGGATTTCTATTTTGAGTAATTCTAGCTCCTAAGTTCACCTAGACTCCGTCCTTAATCCTAACAAGTGGTATCAGAGCCATATTGAGGACTTTGAGAAGAGTCTAGAGAAGTGTGAAGATCCTTCTAGACCCACCATGGCCTGTGGGTGTGCCTAAGTGGTGTTCTAAAGGTTGGATGTGACTTCCGCTAAGGGGAAACTCTGCCGAAAATTTGTGGACGCCGACACTTGTGAAAATATCAAGGGAGCTGTGTGTGAACAGCAAAGGGGAGCTGAAATTCGTCATTTCTCAAGGAGAAGATGAATGAGAGAGGAGGAGATGCTAATGGAAGAGGAGCTGTACCTGAGAAGACAAATGAGCCGCCACCATCGAAAGTTGAAGCTTTGGATGGCTCCAACTTTGAGGAATGGAGCGGGCGGATGAGGAGTGCCTTCAAACGCTACAAGCTCCTGAAGATTGCTGTTGGGGAGGAGTCGATGCCGGAGGAAGACGAAGCACGTAAATGATGGATTGAGAAAAGCGCGGTGCTTTTCGACCTCATCCTTCAATCGGTCAACAAGGAGATGTTCGAGCACATCAAGGATCTTGTGGAAGCGGATGATTCGGGTCCAAGGGCGTGGAAACTACTATGTGATATGATTCAGCCCAACACTCTTCCGATGGTGATCGTGCTCGAGAAGGAACTTGCTGCCATCTCCATGCGACCAGGGGACGATGTGAAGCCGGTCCTTGACAAGATCAAGGACACCTATGCAAGGATGGCAGCAGCGGGCAGCAGTGTATCTCAGCTGCAGCAGTGCACCAAGATTATCTTGGTGTTGGACAACTCTTAGGACAACCGCATCCCCACCCTCAACTCTCAGCAAGATCAATGGACACCTGAGTGGCTAAGGCAGCAGATTCTGCAGGAGGACTTCCGCAGACGCCATGTGGGAGGTGGTGCTTCCACTAAGACTGCTGAGGGGTATGGAGCTCCAGGGCGCGGCAAAGGAAGAGGGGGTTGGAGAGGCCGAGGCCGTGGGAGGAGCTTTGGCAGAGGTAGAGGCCGAGGTGACTATAATGAGGGGCATGGGAGCTCTGGTGGCAGGGGGAGTACCAGAATGGAGGGCACCTGCTGGTATTGTAAGAAGGTCGGGCATCCTTGGTTCAAGTGCTTCAGCAAGCCGGAGGGATGGACACCTTCAGGCATGAAGCCGCCCGGTGGTGAAAGCGCACAAGGTGGCGCTGTGCAAGGCTCAGGTGCACAAGGTGAAGGTGCACAAGGTAATGCCTATCCTGGGATGTTTCTCATGGTTGAGGATGTGCATGGGCATGAGGGTGATGTGGGATCTATGAGAAAGGTTGTGATGCACCCTCTCACGCACTGGGTGATTGATTCAGGTTGCACCAGTCACATGACCCCACGGGCAGATTTGCTTGATGAGGTAAAACCCCTTTGGAAGATTAAGTATGTGGCAGCAGCGTCAGGTGCTTTGCTCCCTGTCATTGGTGTTGGGAATGCCAAGGTTAAGGGAGCTAATGGGGAGCTTGTGGGGCTTGGGAATGTACTGCTGGTTGAAGGTTTGTCTGCTACCCTCCTCTCTGTGCGGCGACTGCAGAAGAGCAAGGGCAAAGTGACCTTTGGACCAACCAGCTGCCGCGCTAAGCTTGGGAAGAAGGTGCTGTGGAGTCTGGAAGAGGAGACCAGCTGCATCAAGGACCTGTGGCAGCTGCCCATCATCCCTTGGAATGCGAAGACTCCAACAGCAGCAGCAGCAAAGGCAACAGCAGGAGGAGATGCAACGGCACAAACTGATGGGGTCCTGGAAGTAGTTAAGAAAGTGCAGCAGAAGCAGACACATGGTGAGGTGCTTGCTTGTGTGGATGCGAGTGCGGCATGGGCTAAGGCTTCATCAAGGAGTGGTGAGGCCGATTGGGGGACATGGCATGAGAGGCTGTGTCATGTGAACTTCCCTATGCTGCAGAAGTTGGTGAAGGAGGGGAGCTTGAAGGGCTTGGAGGTCAAGGGGGGAGTGAAGGAGATTGGGAGCTGCCCTACATGGTTGGAGACCAAGTTCTCCAAGTTCCCCTTCAACAGCACTACAGGACCAGCCAATACCCCATTTGCACTTGTGCACATGGATGTGGTGGGGCCCACAAGAGCCCCTTCCCTCTCAGGCAGCCGCTATTTCTTGACAATTGTGGATGACAACACTCGAGCAGTGTGGGTTTACCCTTTGAAGAGCAAAGGGGAGGTGGCAGCGGCTGTCCTTAAGGAGTGGATGCCTAGAGCTCAGAAGGAATGCGGACACAAGGTGAAGGTGATCCGCAGTGACAATGGTGGGGAGTTCATTGGAGCTGATTTTGAGGGGGAGTTGAAGAGGAAAGGGATCCAGCATCAACTGACACTGCCCTATAATCCACAGCAGAATGGCATAGCTGAGAGGTTCAATAGGACCCTGCAGGAGGGGGCACGCACTCTCCTTGGGCGTGCAGGGCTGCCTGATCTATTTTGGGTGTCTGCATTGAGGCACGTCGCCCTTGTGAAGAACAAGGTGCTGGCTACAGTTGGGGATAAGGAGAGGATCCCATAGACCAAGTGGTATGGGAGTGCTCGAGCTGTGAACATGCGGAGGGCATTTGGGTGCATGGTGGTGTTTCATGTGCCTAAGGAAAAAAGGGGGAAGTTGGAGGCTTCTGGAAGATGTGGTGTGCACTTGTGATTGCAAAGGATCACAAGGGGTGGCTGCTGTGGGGCTTGACCACTTAGAAGCTGACAGTGTTAAGGGATGTGAAGTTTCTTGAGTCCCTATACTACAAGGAATGGAAGCAGCAGCAATAGAAGCTTCCATCTACACCTCTCATTGTCGAGGCAGACGAGGTGCAGCGGCCTTCAAGATAGGTGGAGGTTGCAGTGTCTGAGGAGGAGATGTCTGGGGTGACTGAGGAAGGGGGAGCCGCTGAGGTGGAGCAGCAGCAGCAGCAGCATGAGTCTCCACCTCGAGTTCCACACCCACCTAAGCGTCCTAGGAGGGATGTGCGCCCTCCTCTGAGGCTGACCTATGGGGGAAGAGGCAAGCCGAATGTGGTGCAGGCTGGGAGTGTGGTGGAGCAGATTGAGGAAGATGAGATCGCTCACTGCTACTAGGCACCAATCCCTGAGCCCAAGACTCGAGAAGAGGCCTTGAATGGTCCAAATGGGAAGAAGTGGAAGGCGAGTGAGGATGAGGAGTTCGGGTCCCTGATTGGGAATGAGACATGGGACCTGTGTGACTTGCCTCTTGGGAAGAAGGTAATCACTTCCAAGATGACCTACAGGCATAAGTATAGACCTGAAGGGGGGCTGACCCGCTGCAAGTCTAGGCTTGTGGCAAGGGGGTTTCAGCAGACAAAGGGAAAGGACTATGATGACGTGTTTGCTCCTGTGTGGAAAGGAACAACACTAAGGGTGCTGTTGGCGATAGCTGCACTCTTGGATTGGAAGATTCGGTAGATGGACATTGTGACTGCCTTTCTGAATGGGATCATTCTGGTGGAGGTGTACATGGAGCAGCCAGAGGGGCTGGATGATGGGAGCGGCAGGGTCTGCAGGCTGAAGAAGGCCATCTATGGCCTTAAGCATGTGCCTCGTGCATGGTATCACAAGTTGGAGGAGGCGCTGTTGGCTGAGGGTTTCAAGAAGAGTGAGTGTGACCCCAGCCTATTCCTGCTCCAGGAGAAGGATGAAATCCTAATGCTCTTGGTGTATGTGGATGATATCCT